TTGTGAAATGTCACTACACCTGTAATTACTGATTAACTATAGGTAATAACTGATAACATATACAGGTTAGTTTTTCTAATCAGACATGCTACTTGTTTATAGAGGATGTTTTCCTGAAGCTATTTAACTAAACTTTTTATTTCTTTATACAGATAAAAGTGAGAGGCAAGGAGAGTCAGTATCCAGAATCAGATGCTTCGCATTGATCCCTGTTATTCTGGTGCTGCTGCTGCTGCTGCTTCTCCTGATCATGATGGGTCTGTAGCCTACTTTGTGTTTATTACAAGAAAAAAGAGAACAAACCCAATTAAATGTCTTTTCATAAATGGGACTATCTGAAACAAATGGATGCTCCTTATAGCTATTTGAGAGAGAAATGGAGAATGTGTTGAAAGTATTGGCTGTATTTTTGGTCAGAGTAAGGGAAAAACCAAAACAACACCTTCATTTGATGTTTATGTGTGTGTATATACTGTAAAATGTGTATAATGTATTATTTAATTTTTTTTGGTAAATTATGTCTTCTACCCACAGTAATACATTTTTGCACATTTCCACTTTGGATATTGTATTTCTCGTCCTGTGCACCAGGGTTGAAAATTAACAGGCCATGAGGCCAAAATGCCTCCCATATTCAGGATAAGGATTATTTAAAATATATCTTTGCACAATGAAACTAATCTATTATAACTGTTATTAAAGTGAATTGAAAGAAAAGTTTCAACTGCAGCATCACATTCAGATCTGCTCGCATCAAAGATTTATTTTTACAAAGTTTTTTGCAGTGTTGAGAATTATATAGCGGAATAAACATGCCATGCCAGATGCAACTTCTTTGCCACCTTTTCCAGTGCATAGATAGCTTTTGTTGATGTTGATAAAATATTATTGGTAGATTTTAGTGTTCTGTTTGATTGAATTTGTTGAATGATCAATTTGACATAAAAGACACAATACATTTCACAATAATTGAAAAAAAAAAAATCCCTTAAAATGTAAAAATGCCCCTGGAAATATGGCCCCTGAATGGAATAGTATCTATCAGGCAACATTTCGTTTAAAGGGTTCGTTCACCCAAAATTGAAAATTGTGTTTTCCTCATGTTTTCAACATAGGTTCACGAGTTCATGAGTGTGATGCTGGCCAATAATAGTGATGTAGCGCTGCACTGTTACGTGAACTCACTCTGAGGCCCATATAAGAAAACGAATAGTTCAATAAAGTCGTTATTTTGGGGGTTCTGTGCGCGCACAAAAAGTATTCTCGTCGCTTGATAATCTTATGGTTGAGCCACTGTAGTCACTTGGAGTATTTTACCAATGTTTTTATTTACTTTCTGGGACAGCAAGTTTCAATTACATAGAAAGCCTATGGAGGAAGGAGACAGCTCTATAGATCTAATCAAAATATATTAATTTGTGTTCTGAAGACGAAAGAAAGTCAGTAATTACTGACAGAATTATCATTTTTGGGTGAAAAGCAAAAAGGCAGTAACTACGCAGAGTGCAGAACTGAGAAAAATGACTTTTGCTAGGGCTTTTTGCAGTTACTGTACAAACGACTACCATTTTTCTCTAAAACGACACGCATTTAAGATAAGATGTTTTGTCACATAGCAAAGGATGCCTTGAATGTCATGAAAATTGTAATAAATAATGCTTTACCAAAACTGAAGTTACTGCCTTTTTGCTTTGTAGGGCAGTGTACATGTTCCTCAGAATTCCTCTGGGCTGAGTGGCCAAAAGGTTTTTGCGCTGTGCTTGAGAGGGGTGTGATCAGCGCCTACATGAGCGTGGTTGACACTGCTAAGATATTCCTCCTGGCTCTGATTAGTTCTGACCGGGAGCGGTGTATTTCTGCAAATCAGGGATCTTCGCCCGTGACGTCACGACGTGGTTACATGTGCTCTGGTTATCTGGTTATGTGCTCTCTGATAAGCATAGATGGCGTGTCGATGAGATACAGGTAGCCTAGTTGTCGCCGAATGTCAAATGTGGCCATGTGTTAGGGCTTTTGCTCCAATTCTCACTCAGGGGATGTGGATCAGGTATAGAACATGAACCCTGGTTATATAAAAGCTTTACCTTATATCTCCTTTTAGCTTTTTCATACAAAGAATTATCATTTTGCTGACAGAACACATAGACTCCAGCGTATGTTTTTGTTCTTTCTGCCAACCAGTTCGCGGCCACGCCCATTTCGTGACGTCATATATGACGCTGGAGAACATCCCTATAGCAATAGGACCACTCGGAGGAGCCAGAGGACCTTGATTTTTTTTTTCACAGATTCTTTCTTATATTCTACTGTCAGAACATAATGACAGTTTTAACAAATAGTCTATGTAATATTTTTTTTTTACAAGTTACCTACAGCAGCTTTAATGCAGCGTCAGACTGTGTTAAGTAAAACGGTTTTCCAAAGCACATGTGGCTTTATTTAACACTATGGTTTCTCATACAATGCCATAATAAAAGGGCTCAAAGGTCACGCACATTTAACAGAGTTGAGTCACATTCCTGCCCTCCTCCTCTTTACTGAGATTTCTCTGGGTTCCCTGAATCTTTCACAATGTTATGTTTGATAATTGATGAAAGACATAAATTCTTTGCAGTCTTGCATTGAAAATTTAGATTTTTGAACTGTTTGACAAATCTCGGCAATTCAGTTGGATATTCTATAATTTTTCATTTATTTTGCATTTCTTTTTACTTTTTTCAGTTAAAAAACATGTTCAAGAGAATGAATAAATCACAGATTGTGGATTTTTTTTTTTTTTTTTTGCATTTGACAAAAATGTCTTAACTTTTCTGGAAATGGGGTTGCAATATTTTAGTTTTAATGCACAAAATACAGTCTTGGAAAATAGAAAAGAATTAAATTTGCTATTTCATATAATTTATCCTACATATTGTTTACTTATTTCGATCCTTTAATATTTGAGCAATATGTTTAGTTGTTCCTTTTAGACCACAAAATACATATAAATAAAATAAACATCCAAATGTTTTCTAAAGTTTTTGGTAATTAATGCAAATTTTGTAAAAATCAATAACTCAAAGACCAAAAATAAAAAATAATCTGTACGTTATGCATAAATGACAAAGTCCTTTTAGGGGATACATATTTATTGTGAAGCTGCCACTATTGTTCAGTACTGGCATGCATAATAGCCTTTTTGCCTGTTGAGTAAGTTGTGTTAGTAAGTTTTATAGAAGACAGAAAGAAAAACCTATACCTTCAGGAAGTATTAATGATAGTAATGGCAGTCCCATCAGAAAATAAGGTTGTGAAATGAAGAAGTTGAAGATCAAGGAGGCAGTGTGTGTGTATAATGGCCTCTGCACCGACAAGAAGGGATGCTCCAGAAATTATTAATAAACAGGTCAAAATCAAGTTACGTTTGGAAAGTGTGGGATATACACTGAAAAATAACAGTCTGGTTGATTTTCACTTGTGCTACAATAATTAATTTGGAATTCCAAGAAAGAAACAATGCTAAATAGTTTTTAATGCCTTTTGAAACACTAAGATATGGTTGCACTATTTTCCAGGCAGTGAAGTTGCATTTGCATTTGTCAGTTTTTCTACATTTTCATATGTGAGTTCCAAATGAAGTTGCAAAAGATTAAATGCATGTTAATAAAGCTTTCTTTTTAATATTTAGATAGGTCAGATTACTTTTGATTGATTAATTATTTGATTAAGTGATTCATTTTTTTTCTAACTGTGATTTAGTCCCATAATAGGTTAAAATGTGGCTGCCAACTTTGTCAGGCATCTCAGCAATTCTGAAATGTTTTTAATAAGTTCAAATAGTTTAATGTAATTAAGCAGTTATGGTGAGTCTTTACAATTTTTCTATAGCAACCAGTATATAAAATATACATTGTTATTAATTTAATCATTGTAACATGGCAACAAGGTGACACTTGGCACCGATTAGTTTCCATGAGAAGTGTATCGACGTAATGTTTCCGTGACGTCTTTACGCAAATACCGGTATCTATACAACATTCCAACCATTCAGGTTGCTGTGGACTATCCCTTTTGTCCTTAAGCGATTTAAATGTTTTTATTTAACAGTAAGTTACAAAAATAACAGAAGAGTAACTAGAATAAAATCAGGTAAGCGCTGTTGTTGTTTTGTAGGGTTGTTATGCGCATTTTGTAGGCTAGTATATTTGACTTTTTAACACATGACTGTTGTCAAAGTTTCGGCGCACACATTTGAAACAGGGTGGCTACAGGCTACCTTTCCTTTGAGCATTTGTGGTTGTTTGTGCTCTCTCAAAATTTGATACATGGTCACATTTGTTTGCTACAAATATAACGCACTTGGACGTACACTGCCAGATTATGTGAGTTAATGTCAAACACAAAGAGTAGGCTAGGTTTGTTCTATCTTATCCTACCCCGGTGAGTTGCAATAGCTGGGGATAGATGGAACAAATTTGCTAAATAATAATAATTACATTTTTTGTAACATTTTTTATAGACTGTTACAACTATCGCTATAACTAACTGTTTTAACACGTGGGTTTGAGGTCAGCACTGTTACTTTTCTTCCTGAAAATGCTAGGCTACTTCTTCTCATGCCACTTCTCATGTGAGCTCAAAAAGAGTGATGAGGGGTGATCACATCAAAAAGTTCAAAAAGGGTAAATCACCACTGATCTATAATAAATGAATACATTTTATAAATAACCAACGTTTTTTTTTAGAGTGTAGCCTATACAAACACAAAAAGACATTTCCAAATTAATAAATTTTATAGATATAAATAAATAATAATAATTAAAAGCTGTATAATTCTGCTCAGAAACACGTTAGGATGCCTTCCGAAATAAAATCAACCTTTATTTTTCTGTCAAGTCACACGAAACCTTTTTTTTGTGTGTGTGTTTAAGCTATGCACGAAACCTTTGATTCACAACCGTGACTTGCGTAATGGGCGGTGCCTGGTTTAGCGAATACAATACAAAATCCTTACCTAGTTGCAATGTGGGCTGACATCTCAAAGTACATCAGCGGTCATCGGGATCGGATCTCTGCTGTTGATCTGACAAACTACAGAGGACAGTCGAAGATCATCTAGTGTGATTCGGGGACTTAGAGGATTTAGGCTACCTGTTACCGACGACCGCGGATCTGGAATGTACCTGAAAGTGGTCTGCCTGTCTTTCCTTCTTATTGAAGCCTCCTGTTTCAGTGAGTAGCCTATTTAATTTTTTAACTATCATGAAAGGGATCTTTATGAAGCCAATCAAAAAACTACTAACGTTATCCGAATTTTTAATCAAAACCGGCCCAATCACGGCCATCACTATTCGTAGCCTATTTTAAATGACTGAAAATGGTGGAATAGTTTTAGCAACTTTCCAGTTACTGGAAATTAAAATGAAGGAACAGAATATGATAATAAAAATGGGATTTAAGAAGGAAAACATGAACACATTTTATGCTGATTTTTAATGGCACTTTAAATTCTTTCATTTATTTGAATCCTTAGAGAATATATATATCCTATAGGCTACTAGACTGATCAATCAAACTAAACGCAAGATATTCAATAACGCGGACTATTCCTTGTTCCGGCTGTTTTGTAAAGTGTAGGTTGTGTTGGGGCTTATTATTACTTATGTTTAAAAGAAAAACTTTTATCTAGAAATCTAGAAGATGTGGTTTCTTCAAAATAATCTCTCGCCCATTTCTTTGGTTTCTCAAGAAAAGCATTACAGCTTCAACAGGTTGATCAGTCCACTGTTCCTCACAACTTAAAGGCATAACAAAACTGTAATAAATTGTGATGTAATATACAATTTTAAAATGTCAGAGAATATCTTTAATATTTAACATTTTTAGTAGAGGAAATGTTGTGAAATATCTTGCCAACAAAATCATACTGCAAGTAGGCTAATGATTGATTGTGAAACTCAAATGCTGATATATTTTCTCTCCTTCACTCTCTAGCTGAGTTTGAGATTACTGTGCCCAGAGGTCCTGTCACTGGGTTTTACGGAGAGGCGCTGATCCTTCCCTGCACCTTCCCTGTGGACTCGTGGGATCTCAGTAGCACTGTTATTACCTGGCAGCGTGAGCTGGACGTTGTTCACAGCTTCTACTACAGTCGGGACCAGCTGGACCGTCAGAATCCTCACTATAGTAAACGCACCAGCCTGTTCATCCAGGAGATGGCAACAGGAAACGCATCACTCAAACTGGACAGAGTCACTCTGCAGGACGCTGGTGTTTACACCTGTTCCATCAGCACAAACACTGGCAGCCAGAAGAAGAGTTTTAGAGTGAATATTGCAGGTAACAACAACATGGACTGATGTTCATAGAAAATCATGTGAATCAATTTCAAGGTCTCACAATGTGATTGTAACTGTCTTGTGATTTTAATGTGTGTGTTCTGTTGTTTATCAGCGTTCTTCTCTGAACCTCGTCTGCAGTTCTCCATGTTAACTGATGGGGTCAACCTTCTAGTGACATCAGATGGGGGTTACCCGTCTCCTAAACTGCAGTGGCTGATGGAAAACTCAGACATCACTAACCAAACACAAACACACCTCATGAAGGACACACAAACAGGACTTTACAGTGTTTCTAGTTGGATAAATGTCACTGAAATCAGAAACTCCTCTCTGACATTTATACTGCACAACAAACCTCTGGGACAAGACATCAGGAGAGAGATCCTGCTGTACTCAGGTGAGCACAGTCAAACACAAGCATAATAATCAATAACATTTAAGAGACTAAAACTATTTATGTTTAATTTAATTTCTTTCTACAGAAAAGACAATGAGAGAAGGACAGGCAACACACAGATGGCACATATTGATCTCTGTTAGTCTGCTGCTGATTGTGATTATTTTGTGTTTATTGGTTGTGTTTTTCATTAGAAGAAGAAGAACGAAACAAACCAAACAAAATGGCTTACCTAATGATGTACACAAGTTTCAAATTTCAGCAAGTTCCTTTGCAAGCATGCATTATAATGTGGTTTGACCTAACGAGAGACATAATGAGAGATCACCATTGGATATTTCCAAATTTGATATGTTTAATGGTCTTATTTTCATCCAACAAACCATCTGTAATACATACTGCTTCCTTCTGAGTCTGAAACTCAAACTGAATGAAAAAGTCCATAATGGGTTCTGTTACTTACAAAACCATTTCATTTAGCAGTAATCATATTTGAAACTTAAAGACTTTCTGTGATTTGCAGACAATAGCATTATATTTATTTTTACATTGTATGTTATTTCATAAGCCTGGCAGCTTTTAACAAACACTCAATGTCTTGTCAATAATAATCAATTTTCTATGTAACATTTCAGTCCATAGTGATCTGTATTACAGATAATTCACTCCCAAACAAAATGGCCAGATCTTCTTGGGTGCTAAACTGACACAAAATGTTAGAATTGCAGGGTTTTTTTGTATTACTGTTATTCACAATGTGTGGATGTTAAGTTTGTGCACTATTTATTGAACCCATGCTTTACACAAATGTATGTGTTTTTAGATTGTGAGTTAGGATGTTTTCATTTATTTATTTTACTGTTAACTATGTTAACTATGTCATTGTATTGATTATATTGTTCTCACACAATCTAGGTGCTCCTAAGAAAACACTTTTCTTGTGTAAAAAAAATAAAATAAAATGTACATTTCCATACCATCAGTGTTTAAAATTGTTTCACAAATCATGACTGTACTAATAAATATTTTATTTAACCTATAGAAATCAATTGTAGAAATAGTTTGAATACTATAGAAGCCAGATGTGTTGTGAAAACCTCATGGCCTACATGACTGTGAGAGAAGTCACATGGGAAAGAATGGGATTTTAGCTGAAGTTGCTTGCTGTTGACGTCTGCACTGATATTTACTCATTTTGTTCACAAAGCTTGCAACATGTACTCTTGATAAAAATGAGGTAAAAACACTGAATAAACCACCCTTAACAAGAAAGAAGGCTAGTGAATTAATGAAGTAACTGGTGAAAGAGAAAAAGGAAGGAGAGCACCTCAAAATGAGATCATTGGTTAAAACCATTGGCGTGGTGATGGCGCAGTGGATAAGACACATGCCTTTGGTGTGAGATACCCGGTCTCAAATCCACTGTGAGACACCAATGTGTCCCTGAGCAAGACACTTAACCCCTAGTTGCTCCAGAGGCATGTGACCTCTGACATATATAGCAACTGTAAGACGCTTTGGATAAATGTATCAGCTAAATGAATAAATGTAAATGTAAAACGTGATGGTCAGATTTCCTGCAGACATCTCAGCTCAGTTCATAAGTCTTATTTTGACTTCTGAAACTTTGCCTATTGAGCTTCTGTGGCACGAAAGGAAAGACTTTTCTCTACGAAAGTACTTGACAAGCTAAGGACGTTTTCTTTTCTAAAATTACATCTAGTTTTAAATGAAAACCACATAATCAGAAGGATTTGTTCCAGGAACAATGGCTATACACACACCAGTTCTTTCCTATAGAGATTACGACACATGAAAAGGCTAGTGTGACTGCAGGAAACACAATATGTCTTTTATATTCACAACGGTTGAATTCAATATGTGAAAAATGTTGTTCCATCAGAATGAAAATATTTAGCTTGACTAACCCCTGAAGCCTTGCAAAACAGACAGCAAGACCAAACCTGCGCAAGACTCATAATGACATTAGTTTCATACTTCATAAAGATCACAATTAACAGGATGTTTGGATTCAAACATCGAAATGTTTTTTTGTTGTTGTTTTTTTGTAATGAATGAAAGGGCATTATAAGAGAAACCAGGAAACCATTTAACAAAAGTAATTTAACATTCCTCAATTCACAGCTTATCAGTAAAAAACAAAACTTTCATGAAATACTAGTTTTGATTATTGTGCTTTATGGTGTTCTTTGGTTTATTCATCAAAACAAACAAAAAAAAAAATACATGCATTTAATCAAAATAGTCATCTGAGTCTTGCTTAAGTTTTGTCACAAGACCCTGCTCCACCAGCTCATCAGATCCAACCTGAAACTCTGACGTCTCTTCAAACGACGGAATTAAAAGGAAATCCAAACCTTCCGTCTTATTTTCAGAATAATTTTCCTCCTCCTTATTCGTTTCCTCTGATATAAAAGATGGCAGCAACACCTCATGACCCTGCCCGCTATCACCCACGGAAACTTCTACTCTCTGAACTTTATTTGGCCAGTTACTCAGGCCTTTATTCATATCCTGCATTTTCCTCTCTCCAGACCAGCTCAAGGACTCAACCTCAAACTGCTCCATGGAGTCTAAATCTGGCCTTTCAGATCCCACAACGCTCTGACTGATATCCATCAAAATTTCCACCTCCCCATGTTTCTCTTCTTCGTTCTCTTCCATTACCTCCTCTAGGAGTTCCACTGTGCTTGTGTTGGACTCATGCGGTCTCTTAACATGGTCCTCCTCAGAAGAATTCAGGGTAACAGAGGCAACAAAGTCCTTGTGTGTGTAGGACCACTGGGGCTCTTTGGCCAGTTTGGCTTCATACCAGATGGCGTCATCGTTTCTAGAAGTCACGAGAGTGGAGTTTAAAGTTGAGGAAGGCAGAGTTGAGACAGGAGACGTGTCAGAGAAGAGTACTTGATCACTGCTTACGAACCCTGATGCACAGAAAAAAAGAGAGGAGAGGTCAAGATTTTTATTTTCTCATTGACCTTTATTTTGATTGACCGTCGTTTCCTGAGTACTAATTTAACAAGTTAACCTAAAACCCAACATTTTACAAAGAACGCATCACAATTTTAGAGCTACAACCTGGACGTATAATAAATGCTGAATATAATCAGCATTTATTATAGGTCTAATGCAAAATAGTACAATATAAGGAAGCAATTGGAAAAGGTCAGCTCATGATATCTACAAAAAGATTTAACTGTGATTTAAATGTCAATCACAATCGGTGTTTTTATTGTGAACTAAAACTAATAAAGCTCAAATAAAATATAAATATTAGATATATACAGTATATAAAAAATATATTTTTAAAAAATGTTGTCTTGAAATAAATACATGGAGATTGAAGCACAAAAATGACTAAACCTAAATCATACTGATACTGTTAATAGACAACAATAATAATACATGGAAAAAAAGCTCAACAATATTAATAAAACTTTTTTAAATGAAAATATAAAAATAAAGTTAATTCAATATATAAAAAAAACTTTCTGCTCCCCTGATATATTAATAAGAAGCGCACAATAATTTTTTTCCCACTGCCAATCTTTCCCCTTCTTTCTTAGTACCGTTTTAATTATTACTCTATTATATATACACCCATGCATGCATACATATATATACAGTGAGGAAAATAAGTATAACACTAAATAAGTAGAAAAGAACACCTTTTCTACCAGATGATCCCACACTAGCTGTACGGATCTCAAGTTGTCTGGCGGACATCTCCCCATGGATGAAGGAACATCACCTGCAGCTCAACCTGGCTAAGACTGAGCTTCTCGTCCTCCCTGCCAATCCGTCTCTACAGCACGACTTCACTATCCAGCTACATTCTTCCTCAATCAACACATCAAGGTCAGTCAGAAGTCTTGGAGTAATCTTTGATGACCAGCTGACCTTCACAGACCACATTACAAAGACAGCTCGATCATGAAGGTTTGCTATGCACAACATCAGGAAGATCAGGCCTTTCCTAACTGAGCAGGAGACACAGCTTCTCCTCCAGGCCCTGGTTATTTCTAGGCTTGATTACTGCAATGATCTTCTGGCTGGACTTCCATCATGTGGAACTAAGCCTCTACAAATGATCCAGAATGCTGCAGCTCGTCTTGTCTTCAACGAAAGATCCTCTATCCACTCCTCTATATCCACTCACTGCTCGCATCAAGTTCAAGGTGTTGACTCTTGCTTACAGATCGACCACCGGCTCAGCTCCCTCCTACTTCCACTCATTACCACAAGTCTACATCCCTACAAGAAGCCTACGATCAGTCAATAAGCGACAGCTCGTAGTACCATCACAAAGAGCCACAAAATCACTCTCCAGAACATTCTCATTCACGGTACCATGCTGGTGGAATGATCTGCCCACCCTCAATCCCTGACAGCATTCAAAAGTCAATTGAAAACTTGTCTCTTCCATGAGCACTTATCATAAAAAAAAAAGTCCTTACTTTGGTTTATGCTACTCTGAGCAATGTTTGAACTTTGTATTTTGAGCACTTCTTGTGTTGTTTTTAGCTCTTCACGATGACTTGTTTGATTTAGTTCTCAGATGTAAGTCGCTTTGGATAAAAGTGTCTGCATAAATGTATATGTAAACACCTGTCTATCAGCAAGAATTCTGACTCTCAAAGACCTGTTATGCTGGATACACACCAAAAGATAATCGGGCAGATTTTGGACAATCCTAGCTATGTCCCGATTATCTTGATAGTTCTACAGTTTATCTTCCTAGACAGTATCAATAACCAGACAGTTTTTGGTCTCATTGACTTCCATAGTAGGAAAAAAATATACTATGGAAGTCAATGAGACCAGAAACTGTCTGGTTACTGATATTCTGGAAAATATCAGAAAATTGTCTCTATACATTCGAATACAGTAAAACCCATCTGTTTAACTCTGGGGGAGTGGCAAAATGAGGCAAAATTTCCAAAAGTGGAGTATCCCTTTAAATATGAATGGGAATATACTTCAGAGATTTTTACTCATATACTCATATGGATTTTTCAATGCATGTTGGCCACAATTATTGGCACCCCTAAAAATTCTTGAGTAACATATCTCTGAAGTATCTCTGAATCTCACCAGGATGACTAAGAGCATGACATTTTCCAGCCAAGACTTCCTGTTACAGATAAATATAAATATGAGGAAACAAAAAGGCCAAATTCCTTTAATCATGGAGTAAAACCAATAAATATAGCTCTGATGTGCAGTAAAATATTTTTAAACTTCACAAAATAGAAAGTGTCTGTATAAGAAAATAGCTAAAACATTGAATCCCCATTTCCACCATTAGGGCAATATTTAAGAAGTTCCAATCAACTAAAGATGTGATGAATCTTCCTGGAAGATGACATGTGTCTATAGTCCTAATGTATGTCGAGAAGCAAAGTTTAAGGATCACAGATGGAGAATTGCAGAGATGAATTGAGTCTTGGGGTCAGAAAGCCAAACAACCCTTACATAACCACAAGTATATGAGGAGGGTATCAAGAAAAATCCTCGCTCATCCAAAAACAATCTCCAGCATATTCATTTGTCAAACACAACAGAAACTGCAAAAGGGACCAGATTCTATCCGATGAAACTAAAAAATGTTGCGGGCCTATTTTTTATTAATATTTTTTGTCCTAGACATCTTGTTCAGATACATGGTATCATGGATTCTAGCAAAAAGATTAAAAAAATGTTTTTTTAAAAACCTGACAGAAAACTAGTGAGGGCAGTGGTTGGATCTTCCATCAGGATGATGATCCAAAACAAACATCAAAATCAACATAATAATGGGTCATTGAGCACAAAACGAAGCTTCTGTTATGTCTCCAGACCTGAACCCTATAGAAAATGAGTGGGCTGAACTGAAGAGAAGAACAACATGGATATGGGAATCTGGAGAGATTCTGTATGGAGGAATTATGTCTGATCTCGTCAGATTCTCCAAACTCA